CGGCTTTTCGACTTCAGCATTCCGGAATTTTCGTTTGGGATAGGCCAGGTCGTGCTGGACTTGATGGGCTGTTTGTGTGAAATTTTGATTTCTCAGACTCAGGGGGATCACCAAATGAACAGCGTCGTATTCTATGTTATTTCAGATTCCCGACCCTGTACTGGGTGCCAAAGAATGCCAAGGACAAGCCGGTGCCATATTCGGGTGGTCGCGAAGTGGACGATTTCATCAAATACATTGCCAAGCATGCCACCGAAGAGCTGAAGGGCTACACACGAGATGGCAAGCCAAAAGCGAAGGAAGAGCTGTAAAGGACTCAATTTTTCATTAGTATTATTATTGTTGGCTAATGCGACAGGGATTTAATTCTTGGGCCTAATGCAATAGCAAAGTAACTCAAAAATGGGCCAGACCACGAATTCCCGGTTTTCGGGGTTTCAGTTCACAGCAGAAGCTTTGAGCAGAACCCTTGAATCGAGCTTAGCCGACTTTCTCCGTGCCGCCTTTTCGAGTTCAGAGCCAAATTTGGGCTAATGCGCAAGCCGGGCACGGAGTAAGTTGGCGAAGTCTTAAGCCAGGGATGTTTTTATTCATTTTTGGTATTTTTGATTCGATCCTGCCAGCAGGGTTGCTCAGTACTGCTGCTACTCCTTGACTTTTTAGGCTGCTGCCCGTTTTGTCCCGGGACCATCAGGTCCCTCAGTTACAATATTGTGTTTGTTAATTTTGTTCTAATTTATTAAGATTTTTTTTCAATTTGGGCTTTCACTCCTGAAGATGTTGTGCAGGCGCCGCTACTAATCCGCGAAATTTTCCCGCATTTTCTGGGAATCTGAAGCGAGAATCTTCCCCCTGTTCAGGAAAATCCACTTCTGCTTACCATGCACCACACGGGTGTGAAATGCGCCTCTCTCTCTTGGCCACAGTATTTTTACAATGTACTGGCGGTGCCTCATCTATTTATGTTCAGCCGGAGTTTTATGTATGTGTGTGTGTGTTAATTCGGGTTTTTCTGGGAGTTAGTAGTTGTAAGAAGCAAATATTATTTCATTGGGCAGCTACATTTGGCCATGTACAAAACGAAAAAATTCCGGAATTTTTTCGAAGTTTTATCGGGAAAATCCCAAAGCTCAAAATATTTTGCATTTTTTGGTAGGTAGCAGGGAGGAAAATTCCGGAATTTTTTCACTTAACATTTCGCATATCTCTGTGTTTTTTTCTTTTTTTTTTTGTTACACTGTTAGCTGATATTTGTAACTCTTTCTCTTTCTTTCTCTCTCTCTGAAGCGTAGTACACAGGAAGTGAATAAGCCTCAACCGAGAATATGCTCTTCTCATGGCCATTCCATAAAAAAAAGAAGGAAAAAATCGTATTTTAGATGGTTTACCATCATTTTTGCTGCATTTTTTCGTTTCATTCGAGTGCCTTTTTAGGTTTTTCATGATCAATTTTTTCCAACAAAAAAATTTCTTCTGGTAAATTCTACTGCGTCACCTAAAAATACACTGTTTGAATTTTACAAAAATAAAAACTTTGTTGGCTAAAAGTTGTTGTGTTCGCATACATTTCCCTCCCCCCCCCTCCCGCATTTTGCGCGCGTAATTTTACCGCACTATTATCCCCTCTCGGCCCTCTTTCCCTCTTCCCCCTCCCCTATATTTACGGGGATTTTTTGATGGGGGAATTATTCGTTTTCAAAATTCCGCTGCCGATCTGTTGCTGTTGCCGTTGCCACTGCGGCACTGGTCGTATTTGAGAAAATCTTCCTCCCTCCACCTCGTCGTCATCCAGTGGTGGTTGCTGTGCTCTGCTCCCTGCGTTGCGTTGCGTATCGCGTCCGGCCGCTTTCGTCCCCCTACTACTCCTGCACTGCTGCACCTCAATATTATTCCACAGAAACAGAAGATTTCCCCTTCCAGGCAGCATGTGCTTGATCCGGCCGCGGGTAACTTTACCCGGGCCGGCTACCCGAGTTTGTTCTTCTACTCCACAGTGCCTGTACTTGGCCAGAACGAGGTGTTTCGGCGATCTTCCGAGACGAGCCCTCTGCCGACGTGTCATATTTCCAATGGTCGATGCTTGGGTTCTCGGCTGTGGGTTCAGTGGTGTCGGGTTTTCTTGGTTTTTCGGCTCGACGAGAAGCGATCCTCGAGCTCTGGTCTTCTTCGGGATTCCGGTTGTTCTTACTGAGATTCCTCGGCCGAAGCACGAATCCGGAGCAAATCGATAATAGCCTCAAC